TCACTATATATTAACATGGGCCGTCAACCTATTGGACTCTCGTTACACGTCTCGAATGGTTTGAATTGGTGCGGCTTGCTCCAAAGGATATACTACTTTTCAAATTTTATAAATAGCCCCTGTTTTTCTTTCAAATCTTATAAATAAACCCCATTTTTCCCATAATTCCACACTTCAATCCAAAAAACACTCGAATGGTTTGAATTGGTGCGGCTTGCTCCAAAGGATATACTACTTTTCAAATTTTATAAATAGCCCCCGTTTTTCTTTCAAATCCTATAAATAGACCCCATTTTTCCCATAATTCCACACTTCAATCCAAAAAGCATTCTGCATTCTAGCCTACCCATTACAAATTCTCTCGAAAAGTTCTATACTTCTATACAAAATATAGTTCGTCGTGCATTCAAATCTTATAAATAGACCCCGTTTTTCCCATAATTCATCACTTCAATTCAAAAAGCTTACATATTATCTCGAAAAGTTCTACACAAAGTACAATTCGTCGTGCTTGGGATTTCCGTTCAATTCAATCCAAAAAGCCTTTTGCATTTCTAGCCCACCCATTACTGATTCTCTCGAAAAGTTCCCTTTTGCATTTCTAGCCCATCCATTACAGATTCTCTCGAAAAGTTATACACAAAGTACAATTCGTCGTGCTTCGTATTTTGAGTGCTCATATTCCAAGTCTTTGTCGTTGTATATTGGGAGACGATTTTCGTTCAAACCGTTGGCACCGTTGCAGGGAAATTTCGTCTTAAAGACAGAGACAACTCACCTCGGCAAAATTCATTTCAAGCAGATTTCCAACAGTTACCACCAACCAGAACCACATGTTTACTTTGCTATTGTCACCCTCCTCTTTTCTTCTTTTGTCGGACGGTTCTTCTCCTTCATCCGATTTTACTTTTTCAATAAACTTATGTTGTTGATCATTAACGATGTGATATTCTTAAAAACAAATGTCCTTACAACGCACACATTCAACACACGCATCTAAAGAGATTTGAACCTCCACCTCTCAACAAACATCAATATAGAAGAGGCTCCTAATAGCACTAGTACATTTTTTATACTCAAACGGACTTGATTTTCAAGAACCATAATAGTAAATTGTAAGCAAGTCTAGATAATATGAGTTCATGGCGTGTTCAAAATAGGACACAATTTGATAGGTTTGAACCCACTAATATTTATGTACATTTTTTTATTGATTAATAAGATTATTTTGAAACAATGTTCACATTCAAATAATTCAGGGAAGAAAAAAAGAAAAAAGAAAATAATAAAAAAAAAACGTGTCCTATAAAAAAGGAGAGAAAATTTAGGGGCGGACGAGAAAAAAAGAAGAAAAAAAAGAAAAAGAAAATATTTAAAAATAAAAATGTGAAAAATATTGACCGTGTTTAGTGGGGAATGGAAAAAAAAAAGGAAGAAGAAAAAAGAAAAAAAAAATAAAAAGAAATATAATGTGTTCTATAAAAAAGGGCAGAAAAAACAAATAATTTTGAATGTGCTATAGAAAAGGAGAAAATAAAGGAAACATATATTTCACAAAAAACAAAAAGAACATTGTTTTTAGGGTTTTTAGGAGATAATATACTCTCAATGCAAAATTACGTAATATAATGCAATATACAAAATCGAAATATTTTTAAAATGGTGAGAACTAGGGGTGAAAGTCGGATGGATCGGATCGGAATTAGCGTTTTTGGAAAATTTCCAAAAAAATTCGGATGTACAAAATCAATTCCAATTCCAATTCCAATTCCAAAATTTTCGGAATCTAAAAATTCATTCCAATTCCAAAAGGCCCGGAAATTTCGGAATTCAGAAAAAAATCGGAAATCACATAAGCTTTAAAATTTCAAAACTTAGCCGAAATTTTCTAAAATGTTCATAATTTTTCGAAAATAAGAGCATCCACGTCGATAAAAGTAAAATTAACACTACTAAATTTCAGTTCAAAAAAACAAGTAAAAATAAACACAGCATAATATCCAATAAAACTTCTAACAACAATTCATTATGTCAAAATCATAAAACAAAACTTATAGGTGTATTTTTCGGAAAATAAGTATTATATAATATATACTATTTATAGGTGTATTTTTCGGAAAAAAATCGAAATTTTTCGGAATTAATTTTGGAATTAAATCGGATCGGAAATCGGAAATTCCAAATTTATTATATATAATTCCAATTCCAATCCAAAAAAATCGGAAAATTTCGGAAATCGGAATTTCGGAAGTCGGAATGAAAAAAGTTGTTCCAAAATCGGAACTTTTCGGATCGGAACCGGCGGAAATTGGAAAATCCGTTCCAACTTGCAACCCTAGTGAGAACAAAACCAACTCTTTTTAGTGTAGTAAGATATAAATTCATTCAATTTCATCAACAACAAAGTGAGTGAACTATGTAAATACGAGAATTTTGTGTTTGATAATTGTCATTCTTCGACTCACAATCCTTGTTCACCAACTTCATTAAAGATTGTTCGAAATTATGAAATGATTTTGTGAAAGTATAAAGTTGAAAATTATTTTAACACATTCGAGAAATAATGCTAATATGCGAATAAAAGAAACTCGATACATAGAAAAAAATGACAACATCCGAGGTCTACAACAGCTAAGTAATTTTTATTTTTCAACAAATGTATAAAATCATAACCATGATATTATTACACCAATAATAACTGTCACATAAACTAATACATTTTTGCCAAATTATTTCGGATATCTCGGTTCACAGAGTTGATCATGTTGGTTGTATGTTGTTTCACATCGGAAATTTGTAAGGTTCATATAATGTACCTCAGATGTCTGAAATTGGATCACTACACACAAAAATGCTCCAAAAGAGGAGGTCCAAAATGGCGACAATCACTATAATTGGCAGTTTCATCTCAACTACCAACACGAGAATCTTAATATCATTCTTATCAATTTGTCTAGCAAATTGATAGTGTCATTTTATGAATACTTGGAATCTTGTTCGATCGATTACTTCCTGAACACTCTCAACTGTGATGTTTCTTAATCAGATTATAACATCAACCATTTTCCTCGAACCACTACCTCCCATTGCTTACGCTTCAACACTGAAATTGTGTGACATTTAAACACACAGACGACAAATAATCATTGTCCCTCGAGACAAGAACATCAACAAGGCATTCTTCCAACGCAACATGCTTCCCATCACAAGAAGCCTCATATTATTGTGTCCCCAAATACATAAAAAAATGTTGTCTTCGCAATAATGTGTGACAAACGAGATAAATAATGCTCACTTACAGAGAAAAATCATAGGGTTGTAAACTTTCTTTAATTGTCTTATCTCATCCTCCTGCATACCGCACGAACGCTTTCCCAGCGAATGCACATCCTATGGTGCTTGATAAATATAGATTCCCTTTTCTATGAACCGTTCACCAAAATCATCAATTTACTTCTTAGCATCTATCACATTCTTGCGCTGCTCAGCTATTACCGATGTGTCAATGCTTTTTCGAATTCATCAAAAACAAAAATTGGAGTTACTCGGCACTTGATAAAGATGATCATCTGGGCTAATATCCCTACTATATATATAACTTGTCACATTGTCAACCGAGTTTTATCATCAGCCAACTGTTTCCCCGGTCTTTTAAGAAATGTTTATATCACCATAAAAGCATCAACTATTTTTATTTTGTTTCAATAATCCTTCGGGTGTTTGGTGCAGGTAATTTTTCAGGAGTTATTTCGTTTTACAAAGCATAAAGACCCTGGATTCTCATTTTCTGTCTTCTCAAGAGAGGGAAAGAGATTATATTATAAATTCTTGGACTGATATTCATTCAACTCATAAAGATTGTCGATAACCGATATCCCCGGTTCACATAATTGTCGCAATTAGATCTTCCACATATGTTTTAATATCTAAATATATTACAATATTTCGGTTCTCCAAAAAACAAATATAATATAATACATATTTATATGATATATCTTAAATATATTTTGTGAAAAGTAACATTATTTACATATTTCTCAAAATTTTGAATGGATTATCAAATTTTGGAGTTTCTTGAAATGAGTATATCTTTTTACTTCCATAAAAAAAATAAACAAAGAGTTAAGAAAAAAGAAGTAGGAGGAGTAAATAGTTCTCTACGAGGTGATCATGATAAAACAAAATTGGATCACTAATACAATGTTTGGAAGCATTGTCATTTTGTTTCCGTTGTTTCATCGAAACGAATTCGTGTTTGTTAAGCTTTTTGTTAGAAAAAAAAGAGGAATTTTTAAAACAATTTTAAAAGTTTTCTCTCCTTCAAATATGATTTGACTGTTATAATACAAAATGTCTTCATCCAAAATTAAATAAACGTCACTTCATTTTTAAGTAGTTCTTCTAATGTTTTTCAAAATTTCGATATTTTTTGAAAAGTACATAAATGTTCAGGAAAAATAAGAACACAAACTTTTGTAAAGATTGACAACATGAATTTCACCAATGACTCATTGTGAATAAAGAAAAAGTTACAGTTAAACATCTCTGAATTAATATAGTCGGGATTAGCAAAATTCTATTAATTTAGCGAAATATTAAATTATCGAACTAATAATTTAATATGTTTTCACCGAGTTGGGATTGAGAGCAATTATTATTTAAGCGATGTTATTAATTCATCGAATATTAATTTATTGAGGTTCTACTGTATTTATATAATCCACATATATCACTGACAATGATATAACCAAAATGTAGAAACCAAATTCAAAATAGAGAAATAACGAAAAATATATGAACTATCAAAATATATGAGATCGAATTGAGAAAAACGTTCCAAAAATTGAAAATTTTCGAATCGAAAGTGGCGGAAATTGGAGCAATTACACTAAAATGTAAAAAAACCAAAAAAAAAAAAAAATTAATAATAATAATAATGTCATGGTCATAGAGACTCGTACTAAATCAAAACTATTAAACTTTCAACATATCCAAAAATAAAATAAATAAATAAATCATTGCCAGTAAATCTGCAATTTCATGAAGCCCATTTCCGTCATTTGTAAAAGCAAAAGCCCATTTCAGAAGCCCACTTCCCATTTTGGTGACGTCAGCCTTCAACACCAAAAAAAAATTGCAGCCGAATTGCTGCAGAAATTAAAAAGGGCAAAAATGGCGGTGAAAAATTTAGCATGTAAATCCCTTCCTCTCAAACGTCTCCTCGCCAATCCTCAAACCCTATCTCCCATTTCCCGCCACTCCGACTTCATATTTCAAACCCGCAGGTGATTTTATTACTTTTTTTTTGTTACTTTCAATTTTTAGAATCTGATTCGATGTAATTTTGTTTATTTCCAGTTATGTACATACACGCGAAATTTTGGGCAGAATCGCCCCTATTAGTATTGCAAAGTGTTTGCATTATGAGATTGGAATGAAAAGATGCAATCTTGGCGGTGTTTCCTGGATCCACTCGGGTCGGGTTTTGAGAAATCCGGATCCGGTGGTGGAGCAGAGCGAAAAGGATGGCGGGCCGGGCGGGTCGGGCGGGGCTCCGGTTAAAAAAAGGAAGAAACTGAAAGGAAAGAGAGCTGTGGTGCGGTGGTTGAAGTTTTTCCGGTATAAGAAGAAGAAAGATTTCGAAAGAATGACACCCGAAGAAAAAACCCTATATAAGTTAACCAAGGTAACAAAACTTTTCGAAATATCGATGCTTTATTTTCGCTGACGATATATATATTGATGCTTTTGATTTGTTAATCAAGGCTCGGAAGAAAGAGGAACGACTGCACGAAGCACTCCACAAGATCGAGCCGAAGGAGTTGTCCGAGACGACGCACGATCCCGAAATACTGACGCCCGAGGAGCACTTTTATTTTCTGAAAATGGGGGAGAAGAGCAAGAACTACGTGCCCGTCGGAAGACGCGGGGTGTATCGAGGCGTTATACTGAACATGCACTTGCATTGGAAGAAGCACCAGACTTTGAAAGTCATAGTGAAGACGTTCTCGCCGGACGAAGTGAAGGAGATCGCTTCCGAGTTGGCTCGATTGAGCGGTGGAATTGTGCTCGATATTCAAGAAAACGAGACCATTATTATGTACCGAGGGAAGAATTACTCTCAGCCACCAACCGAGATTATGAATCCCAGGGAAACTCTTTCGAGAAAGAAGGTATTTTTCTCGTAAATTTATCCAAGTCTCGTAAATTTTAGCTAAGTTTCTTGGTTATTGATTATTTTTCCAAGTTTATAATGTCGTTTCTTTTTTCCCGTCTTTATACAGGCTTTGGATAAATCAAAGTATAGGGATGCTCTAAGAGCTGTCAAGAAATATATTCCGAGACTCGAGCAGGATCTCGACTTGCTTCAAGCTCAGGCAGAAACTAAAATTATGACGAGTGAAGTAAAAGATGTTGATTTCGAAAGCCCTTCGAATCAAGAATTCGAGGGGTCCGATAGGCTGAAAAAATTATTGGCTCGAAATGATTTCAATAAAGAAAATGAGGAATCGAATGTGGATTCTGATATTCGTTCGGATTCGGAAGCTCTGTCGGATATGTTCGAGACGGATTTGGAGTCTGAAAACGAGGTGAAGGAAGAAAAGCCGCTTTATATGGACGAGTTTGAAAAGATTCCGGCGGATAGTGACGGAGATGAAGATGATTTTGAAGAGCATCTTCGACGAATATCTGCTGATTCGAGGAAGGAGAAGAATAGTGATACAGATGCTGAGTTGGCGGATCTTGATGAAATTGATAGAATGGTTTTAAGGGCAGCTTCGCTTTTGAAGAAAAAGAGAAAATAATTCATTGGTATGTAGTGTAACTGATTGTTGTTATACGAATATATCGGTGCAGTGCACTTCGTTTCTCCTTCGTGCAAATTGCTATGCGGTAAAGGCTAAGAATTGGCTATGTTTTGAGACGACAAAAAAGGGTTTAAAATCGAAGAATTCTCTTCAATTGATGAGAGGATTGGATTTCGACGTTCTAGAAATTTTGTAGTTTTTACTTGGCGAACCAGTTATCGATATGCTTATCAGCTTATGCTCTTTGAGACTTAACTCAGCTGTAAAAAAATTGATGGGTCCGATAAATGATTGTTTGGTTAAGCTTATAAGCTGTTAAAAAGAGCTTATTTCAGAATGTTTGGTAATTTAAAAAAAAAATTGAAAAAATAAGTTGTTAGAGTGGTTTTAAGATTTTTTATTTATAAATACCTCTACTCCACATTTCTTTTTTAAGATCTTAATGAGTAAAAATAGCTTATAAGCTCATTATCAACACCGTTTGAGCAAGTTGATCGGGTGGAGCGGGGGTTTGTGCATACTGCTACTTATAGAGATGTAAACTATGCATCTTATCTCCAACAATATACAAGTTATTACATATCCTAAAACAAAAGTTGAAAGCAAATACTTATGAACAAAATTAAACAAGTGCATCACACTATACATCAACCTTTCTTTCATTACTTCTTGAAAATTTAAGTAACATAAATAATGACATCACTTATTCTGGTCATTTCGTACCGGAGCCAGAAGAATAAAGTAACATATTCTCCAATTAAAACTAACTTAAAAGCTTATATGCGTACGACATATATAAAAACACAGCTCTTGTTATACGGTTATTGAATTATACCTATGTGACGGACAATGCTAGTGCTTCGCTCAGCGCTTCAGCTTCTGCTTTTCTCACGTTGTCAATAACTGCTAGAACTTTTGAAGATAAATTCTCGGTTTGATTCTCGACATTTGCCAGAAGACTGATCAATTTTTCTCTGTACGAGGCACATAGTTCTTCCTGCCGCTGCAGCTCACGTGCGAGTTCTTGGATTTTCTTATCCTTGTCACTCTGTTGAATTAACAAAAGATTCTCAGAAACTCATTTAAAATTTCACTTTGCGAATTACTTGAGAAAAGTATATATAATCGATGTTCACTAGGCAAATATATAATAATATAATTCACCATCTTTCAGAGATAGTGATCAATGAGCATATCATTAATGTTTTATTTTTGAAAAATTTATACTTTCATTTTAGGGCAAATTACGGCCACCCCCTGAGTTATGGTCAAATTACGAAAAACCCCCTCCGAAAAACCCCCTCCTGTTTGGGTAAATTAGGGATGCTTAAATAGGTAAAATCGAACCGAAATTTCGGTACGCCAACATTTCATACCGTTTACCGAACTGAATATACGATTTGGTTCGGTAAATAACGAATTCATAAATTTTATGCAAAAATATTTAAAAGGAGGGGTGACTGTAATTACCCAAACAAGATGGGTTTTTTCGTAATTTGGCCATACCTCAGGGGTTGGCGGTAATTTGCCCTTCATTTTATTACATTTATCCCTATTCAATAGGATTATGACTCATGCTTATTTGGATTAACTCTTCACAATGCATCCCAAATAGTTTAGAAAAATCTAGTTACGAGAGTACTTAATCATATTGTTTCTTAATCGAGAATATAAGCAATTATGTATTCATTTCCTTCGTCTTCATTCCCACTTATTTTTATGATAATGCTGTTTTAATTATGAAAACACAAACGAGAAGAAGAAAAAGCGTACCACATTGGTAAATTCCTGAGCAGTGACAACTAAAGGATGGTTATGGTCCTTGACAAATCTCGTAACTACCCACTTTCCCGATTTCTCCATCTTAAACAGTATCGTTGCCTTACAACCCTCGCGCGCACTTGCTCTTAGCTTTTTTTCGGGCCCGATTTTTCCTTTGTTATTGGGAGAAAACCCTTGTTTGTTACACCCGAGTCTCCGAGCAAGAGTTCTGCCATCAATTTCAGATCGACGCCGCTGCATAATACGGACCACAAACCCTACTCTCCTTGCGTAGTCGTTGTAAAATCTCCGCGCATCTTCTTCCGATTCGAATTCCATGCCTACATATGGTTCAAGAACTTCACCCCCTTCGACCGACCTTGTATTGTTCTCCTCGATTTCGATGACATCGTCTTCTTCGGAATCGTTGGAGTTCCAATCGTCTCGTTCTGACTCAGCGCCGGTGTTTCCTTCTACCACTGCAAGTTGATATAAGAAAAATATACCTTTGAAGTTAACTTCATGCATCTATAAGTGAACTGAGTCGTTCTTGATCACAAAAATGTACGGAAAAGATCAAGAAAAAATTGTGTAGATGTAAATAGAGTTTATTTAGCAAGTTTATTCAGTAAAAGAGACATACGAACAATGATGAAAAATGACAATCAAGGTAAAATATTACACACGATGCCAATTGTTTTCCATAAATATGTTTATGCGATTTTCATTCAATATCAAACCGATGCATAAATGATAGATACTAGGCTAAGGGTAGCCGAAAATTCGGTGCCTGCACTCAGATTCGGGATTAGCTAGTAATTAAGCCGTATAACCATTGCATAAACAGACACAAATTACACGCTTTAGAAAAGGATTAAACTTTCTGTGTTAATTTCTATTTTGCAACAGTCACAAAATTAGCAAGAGAAACCACCACATCAAACATCTAACTACAAAAAAGAAACACCCATTCGTTACAAATTCCGTAATCAAACGAAACCAATTCCGTAAAACTCAGAATCAATTGAAATTCCTCAAAGCCCACGAGATTCATTATCGAGGAAAATAACAACAAATCCCCAAATACTTCAGGGTCGGCCAGTTCAATAAATACGCAAGGAAAAAAAATTAAAAAAAAAAAAGACTGAGGGCGAGAGGGTGTGGTCTTACTTGTTTGATACGAGAAGAATGATGGATGAAAATGAAGAAATTTCTTGGAGATTTGCAGCAATTTCAGGGTGTTCTTATCGTGAGAATCGAAGCACAACTCCGCAGTGTATGGGCAAACCACAAGTGCGTCTAACTTCCTAATTTCTTAAGTTAGAATTTCTTGTTTCCGTTTATTGCATTTCGCACCCTTGATTTTATCTTAATTACTAAACAAATCATTAAGTGATTTTATTAACAAAATAATCTTGTGTGTATTAAGGGACCATACCCTAAAAACTCATCAATTGTGAACTAAAATACATTACACTGGAGTTAAATGTCTCTGGGATATTACACCTGGTGAAAATCATCATGTGATTTTTTTACCATAAATCTATATAAATAATTATCTACTAAACACACGTACACATGGATGTGTGTGGTGCAGAATCACCCGAATATTTCACCGGTCGTAGCGTCAATTGACATCATTTGCTCTACCCCTTAATGGTCCAACTTAAAAATGTTTTAATTATAACTTTGATGTAATATTTGTTTCATTCTCTCTTTTTTAACTTGTAAAGCTTGAAATTTGCATCGTTTTGCTTAGTTATTTTCATTTTAACTAAATTAGTTTACTCTAAGTTAGTGTAAACTTATTTGTGTTTTGTTAATCAGTTTTTATTTAATTTAAGCTAATTAAAATATACTAATTTAGTTAATTTTAAAAATAGTGTCATATTTTGAATTTCAATAAAAAAAAAAAACTGTGAAAGTCCAGCGGATTAGCGGTATATAGAGATAAACAACGCTTTCAATGCAAGTTTTTTTTGACAGTAAAACGCGCTGCTGTCGGCGATTACATTACACCGCCCCCTCTCCGCCCGGTTCCGCCGCCCCCAAACACCGCTCTCGGCTGTCGCCACCCAAACAGAGGAGAAAAGCATTCAACTGAGCTTCAAACTGTCGAGATTCACAGGAATCTAGTAAGTTTTCATCAAATTTCTCTCATATTTAAGTCTGTTCATCATAATCATCAGCTAAAAAAACTTCAATTTTTTGAAATTGTAATAGATTTGATTCTAATTCAAATAAACAATCAATGTGAAATTAACTTGAGAAGCAGTGATTTAGCTCTCAACTTTAATGCACGCCGTGAAAATAAAAAAAGAGAGTAGAAATTCGTAATACATGATTTGATAATGCTATGAAATTCTTCCATGTTCAGTTTCCGAGTTATAAATTATTGATCTGAGTATAATTTGGCCACTGATAAGGTCAAATTACAAAGAAAAGAAAAAAAAAACCTCGTGTTTGGATAATTACAACCACCCCTCAATTATGAATCTTCTTACATGTCCACCTTGCAGAGTCAAATTTAGTGGAATCTTCTAGATTATATAGAATATTCTCCAGTTTGTACGCATTTTACCTCATTCGAGCTTCACGTTTTGAAACAAGATGATTATTAGATGTGTCTCTTGGCTTGTAAATATATAGATTTTATTGTGGTGCGGCATCAGAAACTGCATTATTTCACAAAGCAAGTACGAACGAGAGAACATTCCACGGAATCTAGAAGATTATGTTGAATTTGACACCATAAGAGTGGACGTGTAAGAAAATTCATAGTTGAAGGAGGTGGTTGTAATTACCCATACATGAGGGGGGTTTTCGTAATTTGACATTACCTAAAGGGCGGCCGTAATTTACCCCTTGATCTTAAACACTAAGTAGTCGAATCATATTATAGCTAGAATTTTGTATGGCTTCTGTCGTTTCTTAATTTGAAGTTGGAGCTTTTGATTTTCCTAATCAAAGATGATGAAATGTAGAGTTTAAGCCCTAATTTATGCTATGCAGTGGATGATAATGAGGCTGAAATGTTGGGGATTTCGATGGTTAATGATTTTTTAGTTAACAACAACGAAGGAAATTCCGATAGAGAACCGTATGTCGACATGGAATTTGATTCGGAAGAAGCTGCAAAGGTATTCTACGATGCATACGCCACGCACATGGGGTTTACTATGAGGGTTGATGCTTTCAGGCGATCTATGCGTGATGGCGGTGTTGTTTGGCGAAGACTTGTGTGTAATAAAGAAGGGTTTCGCAAGAGTCGGCCCAAACGGAGCGAAAATAGGAAACCGAGGGCGATCACTAGGGAAGGGTGTAAAGCGATGATGGTTGTGAAGAAAGAGAAAACGGGAAAATGGGTCGTCACGAAATTCTTCAAGGAGCACAATCATCCGTTGGTTTTTGCTCCGGTTAATGCCCGTCGATCCGCACAGCTGTCTCAAACACCAGTAAGTACTTTGTTAGTTCGTTAGAATTTATTGGGAATTTTCTTTTAATTTATGGTGATCGAACGATGCTTTTGGTACCCTTAATTGCAAGTTATAAACCAATCTAGTCGGAAAACAAACACGTGTGAGTCGGCAATAGCTTTCTCAATTGGATTTTTTTTTTTTAATTTGATCTTTTGCATAACTGCAGAATCTTCTAGAATTGGTTGCTGATATTCACTCATTATGAAAGCAGTTTTCGAAACTTAAAGTTGTTTTCTAGGGCCTCGTTTGGTTGGTAATTAATTAAATAATTGGACCTTATTGGATATTTGGTAGTCCAATAACTTTTAAAGCTTGCGCCCGCAAACAATACAATTAGGTTTTCATACTATTTAATTTCGTCTTGGCTAGTCTTATCTTAGGAACCAAACGAGGCCTAGATGTATAAGCTTGACTTGATTGACTAGATTATGCTTTTAAATGAGGTGTGTTGGATCAACAAAAACTCGAGCTTGAGCTCCAAAAAAGTAGCTCGTTGAAATAATCCCATGTGTATATATTTGATTCTTCCAAATAATACTCCAATTTTACGAACCTATTTTCACGGAGCTGGAAACGAGACGACTTTCTGAAAAACATAAATTTTGCACCATGGATTTATTTAATGTTGGTTTAATCTATTTAAAAGTAAATTGATTTATCTGGTCGGCAAATTATGCAGGACGAGAAAGATATGAAAATACGGGAGCTGACAGCTGAGTTACAAAGAGAGAGAAAAAGATCTTCGGCTCTGCAACAGCAGCTCAACAGTATATTAAAGGACATGGACGAACATTTCAAACACCTCTCGAGAAACATTACTAACATAGTTGAGAGCGTAAACGAAATCGAGTCGAGAAGACCAATAACAGCCATCCGCAAAAGTTGATTGCCTTTCAATGCTTTCTCGTTTAATTTCTTCGGTCTTTCTGTAAAGATTCTCTACGGAAGCTTGTAAAAGTCGTGTTTCCTTGTGTAAGTAACCGTTTTCGTGTTTTCTTTTGTACCTTTGTTCTGAAGTGTTGTATATTAGCCTATGTTCATGAGTTTGGACAATTGGTTCACATAAAGACTCGTAAGTATTCTATTATAGTTTACGAGTTTTAGAAATATACTGAGTAGATCTTTAACATTTATTCACATACGTGAAAGAATTGTTATCTTCTCTAAGTTCATCTAAGCTCAGATTACAGTTTTAGTTTTGTGAAAATGAGAATTGTTTAGTGATTAGGTTAGTAGTTAGATATAATTAATTAATTAGGGATGAGGTTAGTTAGGTTTGGTAAGTTCTGTTTTTAGATAAAATTGGATTCTTAGAGATTTGGTAAGCTAAGATATAATAAGTTTGGTGACTTAGGGTTGGTAATGAGTTTAGCATAGTTTTTTTGGGCTAATTGTTTTTCTTTTCTGGGGCTAATCGTTTAGTTGTTTAGGATTTTTGGTATGTACTTATTAAATAAATAAATTAGAAGCTTGTGAGCCGGCTCGCAAGCTATCTGGCAACTATAATTAGGCTCGAGTCTGAGTTCGAGCTTTTGTCAAGTTAACTCGTCGAGCTCATGAGCCGGTCCAACTTATTTACCATCCTAGTTTTGCCATCGTAGGGTTAAGGGCCCCTCGCCCCACCAATGTTTTTCTAATCTCTAGTATTTTAGGGGGCGATTAAAAGTCCAACATTAACACGGATACGAAAAATGTAGAAACGGGGAAACGGCATGTTCTGAAAATGGGGATACGAAAACTTGGGGAAACGTGTAATTATTAAAACTATAGGAATATATTGGTAAATATTCTATATAAACATATATAAGTTTTTGTTTATACATAATTCTTTTTTATATATACTTATACAAATATATTCAAAATAAATTTTATTATAAATTATCAATTTGCAATTAATCACTAAATCATGAAAATAATTTGGGAATTTGCTATTCAAACCTTTTAGAAATTGCAAAATGGCCCATAAGGTGGCAGGTGTCTTCGAGTTTTCGACAAAAGGCGAAAAATATAAGAAGTTGAGGTTTTCGTGCCACACAGGACAAAAACACATCTTTATATAATTATGTAAAAACTAAAAACTAAATTTATTTATTTATTTTTTCTTTTTATTTTGAGATAACTAAATTTGATTAATTTTGTATACATGAAGAAGATCCCCAGATCCAGTTTCTCTCTCAACCAATAGTCAACCCCACTATAAAAACACACACACACACACACATTCTTTCCCCAAACCAAACCAGTTGAAAGATTTCACTGAATTGTTCCATCACAAAATATTCCTGTAAGTACCATCTGCTTAATATTTTTACTTTCTTCACAATTCTTCTCTTTTTACAGAATTTCGTACCAATGTGTTGAGTTTGATTTTGATGCTTGCATTATGTTTCTGGATTCGCAAATTTTTAATTCAATTTTTTTTTAATTCTGTTTCTTCTCTTTATTTCGTAATTCTGGTTAGAATTGAGACCTCACTGTGTTTCTCTCTTTCTGTGTGTGTGTGTGTGTGTGTGTTCTTTTGATAGATGTTGATTTTTTTATTTTTTTTTTGTACATTGATTTATTTATTAGTTTAGTTCTTCCCCCAATTCTCTAATCAAATCTAAAACCTTTCAATAGAAGAATTAACCACATAAATTATGTAAGTATACAAATGGTGTTGAAGTTTTCATACCCCCTGTTTCGATTTCGCTAGTGCCGAAGTTTGTCGATCTTATTCCCGATGCCCGTGTTAATCTATGCCGATAATTTAGTATTTTTATTGCTGAAACATGCCGATTCGTCCAGAAGTTTCTTGATTTTTGTATTCGAAGAGTATTTTCCGGTCTATAATGCCTAATTCAAATTTAATTTCTCCAAAACTCGTCGTTTGTTACCTATTTAGGTACGGATTTCAAAAAACGTCGTAATTCGTAGCAACTATATGGCCCAAAAAGGCCCGTAATACTTCACTATTTGTTCTGCATTTAGCAACTTTAATCCATTTTCGCCTTCAAAAGATGTTTCCGTTGAAAATGAATCTAAAGTGCGCCAAATTATTTGATTGAACAATAAGATATACCAAGATTACACTTAATTCAATACATAACACTCGCTCCTCGTTTTTTGCTGAAAATTTTTCGTCCGAAAACTGCAGAATCGGAGTAAAATCGAGATGACAGGAGAAACCAATCACCCCTATGTTCCAAGAGATCTGGTACTGCCCGACTATGTGCCTGTTTTTCTCTCTCAATCGACCATTCTTGCTGTTTACGGCATCTCTTCTTTGCTCGTTGTCTCATTCATGTGGCTATTATCCGGTAAAATTCTTCAACTACCCTTATATAAACTTATTATAATTACCTGATTTCGATATGCTTTTATCTACGATGGGAAATATAAATTTGTAATATTTTTTTTTTATGATAGGGCGGGGTCTTAAGAAATCGAAAGCTGATAGAGTACTAATGTGTTGGTGGATATTCACGGGCCTAACACATATTATTCTAGAGGGCTACTTCGTCTTTTCTCCCGAATTCTACAAAAAGAAGACTCCACATTACCTTGCAGAAGTTTGTAAGGCCATCTCCAACAGTTGTTTAAATTCAATTGTCTATATCTATAATTTAAGAGGCGAACAGTGTTATGCAACACCACTTTTAACATCACACTCCAACTATACTGTTTATATTTTACATTATTATCATATTTTATAATTTTACAAAAAAGTTATTTTTGAATTAACTTTAACGACTATAATTTTAATTTCACATACGTACATATATCTTGTTTTAGTTTTGTATTCAGGGAACTTGTTTGGAATTAAAATATATTGCAAATGATAATTTATGTTATATATACATATATTACAAAAAAATAAACATTCGTTATTTTATTATAACAATTATAATTTATACGGGGAAACATATAGTGTGCACTGTAAATTTAATATAAAAAAATAGCACTGATGGAGTTTTTATTATTCTTTATTTTTACACAATTTGTTAAATTGTAGTTTTGGTTTCTCAATTTTGGATATCCAAAGTTAAAATCTAAAAAAAATTGTATTTTCCCATTTTATTGTTGGAGATGTGATTTTGGACTGAAAATGTGCAGAATATGTATATTATAGGTATGCATCATCTCTTGGAGCTGCTCTAAGTTCTTGATTATGGATATTCTTTTTTATGCATACTAGGAATCTTTTTTTTTTCGTGTTTATAAATTATTTATACTTGTTAAAAATGACATCTTTTAGGGAAGGAATACAGCAAAGGTGATTCTAGATATGCAGGACGGGATTCGGGTGTGGTTGCTGTTGAAGGAATCACCGCTGTTTTAGAGGGTCCAGCTTGTCTTCTTGCAGTGTACGTATAACAATTACGAGTACATGCCTTTTAAAGAGTCGAAATTGGAGTAACATTTTGAAATCTGGTTTAAAAAAAAATAGATTTTGAACAATTTTTTTCATATTGATTTCCAATTTTTCCGAAACTTTTTTGGATCAGAATGGAGGTTATAGCCAAAAATTTCGATTTGTGATCCGGTTTTAATTTCTGAAAGTATTTTTCGTAAATGCCAAAAAAATCACGAATTGATTAAATATGTAATTGTCTTTTGAAACTCACATTCTATATTTTAAATATAAAAATAAAAATAAAAAATCAATGTTTTCTGAAAAATTTCCGAAATTTTCGAAGATCATAAAGATCAAACGGTGTTAGGAAATTCCAAACTATTAAGAGATTTTGGAATTGGAATGGATTTTTTAGATTCCGAAAAATTTGGAATCAAACTTAAAAGTCACATTCTATATTTTAAATATAAAAATAAAAATAAAAATCAATGTTTTCTGAAAATTTTCCGAAATTTCCGAAGATCATAAAGATCAAACGGTGTTAGGAAATTCCAAACTATTAAGAGATTTTGGAATTGGAATGGATTTTTTAGATTCCGAAAAATTTGGAATCAAACTTAAAAGTTATTTATTTTTTCAATTGGAAAATTCAGAATTTTCGTAAAAAACCTTAATTATGATCTGATCCGTCTAATTTCCACCCCTATTGTACATACTAATATTATTACTGGCAATGTGCAGGTATGCAATAGCAACGAAGAAGTCATATAGCAACATACTTCAAATAGCAATCTCTCTTGGCCAACTTTACGGAACTCTCGTTTATTTCATTACAGCTATATTGGAAGGTGATAACTTTGCGACAAACGAATTCTATTATTACGCGTACTATGTAATGGCCAATGTATGGTGGATTATAATTCCCACCACCATTCTTGTCCATTGCTGGAAGAAGATATGCGCTGCTTTCGAGGTCCAGCCACAGAAGAAGACGAAATCCCGCTAAGATTTCTGCTTTCGAGATCTTTTTGCTTGCTCTATTTATTTCATTTTAACCTCTTTTATTTATCGAACCTTAATTTCAATAGACATTTCAAAATGATGTGATCATCCTGATTTTTTTTTTCGTGTTCGTTGAATATTTTTCTATGTTAATGGTAAAATCTTCATTTCGTATGTTTGTGAGGTTGTGATAATTCAATTTAGTCTTTGAAATTAATTATAATTCAACAAACAATGGCCGGTGAACTTCATCGGGTAAAAGATCCAATCGAATACACGTGGATAGATAACTATCAAGTTTGCAACACAGAAAACGAGATTCGGCTAAATCAAACACATGCCAACTTTCTTGTTGTCAATTGTTATCAAACAAGTAATAATACAATTAGCCTGAAATAAATCATAAATCAAAGCTTCACAATTTATATAATCATTGCAACAACAAGATACATTTTCAGTTCATTTACGATCCAACAAACGAAAATCGATCAACACGTATTCCAATTTCAAAGCACAAAATATTAATACGACTTCACCACCCGTATTTTGCTTGTGTCTGAGCTTTGGTAAGAAAACCTTTAGAACGTCTCTCGGCAAGCTCCGTCTCTTTCTGTCTCATATCGAAAAGCAAAGAGCCTATTTGATGCTTCCTCTTATGCAACTTTGTGGGCTTACCCTTTGTAGAAGTCGGCTGTACAACAAAGCAAAGCAAAATGGAGATTCATTACGCCACAAAATAACAACAATTTTCACTACCAAAAACAAAATAAATGCATTTTTTTCGAGTTGGGATTTTGAAAGGCACTCGTAAATCGGCAAACTCATCATCAAACTTTAAAATGGTAAGAAAAAAAGAATCATACTATATAACTCCTCAAACGTGTCTTCACTCACTTACTAAAATGTCTACATTCAACAATTAAAGATAGAATCTTTTTCTGACTTTAATTGAATACACACGCTTCTTATAACAGATTTAATACTATTTACCCGCACATATACATACACAATAGAAAGCATAACATTAGGGTTTATTTGAAAAGTATTTCACATCAGCAGAAATTGCACTGCTAGTTTAGGACGGAACACCTAGGTATCAACCGTCATAATAACAATACTTCTGCTATTGTTTTTTTAGTTAAATGCGTTGGACGAGTTTTCTTAAAGATCTTCTACCCCACATTGTACAACTCAATTCCCTATGCAGTTTGTTCACTCTTGACTCTACCAACTTATCTCACTTAGCCCACTCACCCAAAGCCAAAGAAGAAAATATAATTCATTTGAAAGGAGCTCACGTGATCATATTTTGATATTTCAAAATGTAACTACAAAGAGATACAACAATCATATTGTGGGCATATTATGTTTTAATTTATGTTGTAACTAAAGTTTATAAACATTTTCTATCTTTGTACTATTTTTTGTGAATAACCCTCAAAACAGATCCCGAGGCGCTGCCCCTAACTCCCGTAAACCTTTAAGCGCATCTTCTTAATGAATGCCACTGATTGCACACCACCAAGGATTACGTACAAGGTATTCCTAAAACAGCTAACATACTGTTTATCATGAAGTTAAAGCATCAAAATCATGGTATATTACGATATGAAACAGTTGCATCTTGACCAAAGATTCATCTTTTTTTTCCTCCCTAAAGAACTTAAACAATGCCATGTGCCTAATGTCCTTAAAAGCAGAGATACTACCGACAGAAATATTCACAGAAATGCCAAAGAAGCAGTTCGTATCAGCACATAAAAAAAAAAAAGACGAAAATAAATACCTCATATTGAGGGCCAAATGCAATCCCAGTCGATTTAACCTGGTCCTGCCTCGGTCGATTTTTCATCAGCTCATCTTGCTTAACCTCAATTATCTGCAATGGAGTATCTTTCCTCCCTCTCCTTCCAGGCACTCGCAGTGCTTCTTCAGCCACTGCCGAAACCTCAGGCAACGGAATCGAATTGGCCCAATTATTCTCATATTGACCATGATCACCATAATTACCATAACTGCCACCAGAATTTGTGTAATCTACATATTGACCGTCACCATATGAATAATCGTAGGATGATCCTGCAGTATAGTCCACTGCGCCACCATTTGTTATCTCATTGGTCGGATCCTCCTCCTCCTTCAAGTATTTCGCGTTAGAGTTGTTCACGATGGTATCAGTATTGTTTTTCATTGTACCGGTTTTATTAGCATTAGAGGATGGAGCTTCAGTTTCGATTATCGACCTCCTGTTTGTGCCCGAAGCAGAAGACATAGTGCCCAGAGTAGCGGTGTGCCTGGGTGCCGGAATACTTGACAAGAACGAAGCTGGAGAAGCGGTGGAAATTGACTCTTTTGCCCTCTTCCTTTGTCTTTCTAGTTCACCCTCATCGGCATCTTCGTCTTCGTCGTCGAATTTACTGGAATTCGGGTTCGTAATCGTCGGAGGCCTAAATTGAACAACCTTCTTTGAGGATGATGACGATGGTTTGGGCGGAGGAAGAGAAGTGAATAGGGAGGAAGAAGACGAGGGTTTGGGCTTAGATTTTTCCACAATCTGTTCATCAAAATCTCTGTTTTTTGCAAAACCTGATTGAGGTTTCGGCGGAGGGAGTGAATTGAAGAGAGATGATTTAGGCGGCGGGAGAGAATTGAAGATTCCGCCATGTTTCGAGGTGGGATTCGCCAGAAAATCTCCGTCTTTTCCGGCTTCGGATACCGAATTGACTGTTCTCGCCGGTACTATTCGCCGTTGAACCGGCGACGGTTCTTCGTCATCTGAGGAGGCGTAATTTGCTAGCAGAGAATCCATCCAAATAGAGAACGGAGTGGGAAGAAACTAATCGCAGGAGGAAAAACACGAATTAGGGTTCTAAATTTTTAATTTTTTTTTCCCCGATCGGAATTTGGGAATTGGGAACAGCGAGAGATTCAATTAGCACTATCATATTTCTTGGGCTTTCGTTAATTAAGATGGGCCAAACCAAATGCCCAAGACGAATATACCCATCCACTTTGCCTCTTTGGGTGAAAATTGGAACCGAATTTTCGATTTTCGATGATTTCGATTTGTTTCTTTTTTTCTTGATATTTTGGAACAATCTTTTTCATTTCAAACCCGAAAATTTCAATTTCCGATCTTTCCGATTTCTTTCGATTTCTTCTAAAAGTTATCCTTATAATATCAATATTATTATCTATTTCATATTTCAAGTGACTAAAAAGTTAAAAATTTCCAAATTTAGAACAGTTTTTTTATTCAAATATCCCAAAGTTTCGATTTTCCGATTGTTATCGGGACGAATTTTGTATATTTTTTTGATTTTCGGGAAAAAATAAAAATTAAGTGATAATTTTTATCTGATCCGTTCAATTTCTGCCCACTGTTTCTCAAACGATCTTGTGGATGCTGCACTAGTGAACTTATTATATAAGAGGTAATTAGATCTTACATAGATAAACAAAAAGTACCAAGTAAACACTTCAAAAAAAAAAAAAAAAAAAAAAAAAAAGAAGTTAAAACCGAAGCCCTTAAAAAAGACTCAAGTCTTACAATCTTGAAAACACTAACTAAATTAATGAGTGAACAATGAGCTAGTTATTCAACTTGCAGCTAACATATGAGTGTGGCAAAGGGTTGAAAAAACGAGCAATATGAAATTTAATGGCTACTAAAGAGAAGTAGTTCCACAAAAACAATTTCGAGCACCCGGATAAAGAACCGAGTTTTTCCATTAGTGGTCTCCTCCAAAAGGACCGAGAAACCTCAAACTTTCCGGAACTATATTCGTTCACTTATTCTGCAAAGTGCAAACCGAAAATAGACGAACATAATTTCACTCTTAGCATGCATATCATTGCAATTGCATTCACCATCTTCAACATAATACTAGTTCATTCTTTTCCCCCTGTTTTCATAGCCATTGTACCCTACGGCCTCGTTTGGGGATAAAGCTTAAACCTTGATAGACACTATAATCAAGATGCATCAAATGTTTCGGATTTAGGTTTCAAAAAACCGGCCCGAAATTTAATCAATCAAGTCGAGTACAACATCAACGTAATCAAGGATTGGATAATCCTAAATCCCAAAATGTAATCCTATCCAATTCAATCAATCTTATCAATATTCCCCAAACATTAATCCAACACTTACCGAAAAGCTGCATTTTTCCCCGATAAAACACCCAAACACCTTAACTTACATTACACCCATAAAACCTATCATCCATAACAAAATTAAGTTAGATATTCATACAGACGAACAAAAAGTCATCGTCGTTGTCAAATTAGTACACAAGTCGCATTTCACCAAAACCTTAGTTTTCCCCACCTAATCACATAAGATGAATTTTCATTAGATTTTTTAAGATAAGCCTCAACACAACATCTCCAATGCAGCATACAACACGAATTTCAATGAAATTCCAAACAGCAGCAAATTCATCAATGGAGAAAAGCATAAACAGCGGTCGAAATATAAACGAGAAGAGCAGAGGTCACCAGGACAATCAAAGCCGTCACCGCGTGCACGGTCGATCTGCTCCCGCACGACAGCATCCCGAGCCTGATCTCGATCACGCTCACCATCGACAGCATAAGGAAGAGGCAGCCCATCACCGAGCCTACGGCGGAGGCTAGCATTCCGAACCTGAGCACCTTCAGATTGATGTGAGCCCTAAATATCTCGTCCACATCTTTGCTGTTGAGCAAATTGATGGCCAATTTGAGGCCCTGCGCAACCAGGGAGGAGAAGAGGAAGAAGCTGAAGGAGACGACCTCGAATACGAGGAGCTTTTTGGCCACGTCGACGCCGGCGTCGCAGGCGGAGGGGTTTTCGAGGCTGTGCTGCCCCGGTGTGGTGAGGGAGAGTCCGACGAAGACGGCGATTGTGAATAGGGAGTTTACGTTCACCAGGCCGTCTAGGGCGGTGACGTGGACGCTGGTGGTGGAGGAAGATCCGCCGCCGCCGCCGCCGCCGCCGGAGGAGGAGTTCCTTTGTGGCTGCGGCGAGTACTGATCCTTGGGATAAGTATTATCAGATCTGTGAAAAAATACACAATAATAAAAATAAATGAGAATTTACAAAAAAGAAAAAAAAACAATCACGTGAATTTAAATGTGCATGAATTCCGACGGTGGTGGGAGAAAGGGGGCTTACTCCGGCATGATTGAAGGTTTGAAAAATGGGGTTTTCGCCCCCCACCAGGTGGAAAATGTAGCTATTGGTTAGGGTGTTGCTTGGAGGAATTGTTCATTTTTATTTTTATTTTTCTTTTTCTTTTTTCTTTTTTTTTTTTTTGTGGAATTAAAGGCAAACAGAAGATGCTTTGCTTTTTGAAATTTGTGGTCTGAACGTGATTTATGTCGTCTCTCACAACTTTGCTTTGCTTTGCTTTCTTTCAAGAACTCGTTTGCTTCTTTTCTAGAGAAAAAAATGCTACTGTTTTGACTTTCCCAGTGTTTTAAGTTATATATATAAATAATTAATTAATAAATAAATAAAAGGAAAAAGTTACTGGTTATTTATAGGGCTGAGACTGGGTTGGGTTTTATCCACCAACCGACCCATTACCGACCATGTTTTTATGCGGATAATCAATTTTTAACCGATCCATAGGATCGGGTCGAAAATTTCAACCAACCCATCTATAATGGGTCGGTTGGTGGTTTCTAATATTATTAAAAGTTGGTTGACCGATAATTATCGGTTATCCAACTATACTATTAAAATTTTATTAAAAATATAAGATAAAGACCGTGTTTTCTTAAGTGGTTATTTAAATTTTCAAAATAATTAGTATTTTCAAATTTTAAAACAATCAACAAAGGAAAATAATTTGACATAAATCTTCCACCAGTTTCTTTATGCCTAAGCTTAAACAAAAAAGTTAAAAACCCACAAAACTCCATTAAATCTCTTGTGCATGTTTGAAATTATTTTGAATTTTTCTAATTACATTTTTTCATTAAATTGTTATTAATTATTTTGAACTGATAAATGATGATCGCACCGTGGCATTACGCAAAATGTGGATATTCTTAGTCCAAAATTTGAATTTTTTTTAAGTGAACTAGGTGGCGGGTATAAACCATCAACCGACCTATTTCGGAACCAAATATTCGGTTGTCAACCATCAACCGACCCACAAAGGTTGGGTCGACAATGGTTTTAAATTTGAGCAAAAATGGTTTAACGGATGGGTCGGTTTTTAGGCTGGTAATCGACCGACTCAACCCAGTCCCAGCCCTAGTTATTTATAATGGCCGAAGGTTAACGATAGATTTACATATAATCACACACAACCGTATGTACCTGTGATTAGTGAGAAATTATTTAACATCATCTATGATTAACAGTTACTGAATGTGGCATCTAACTCCCGGGGACTACATCACAAACCTAATATTGGTGAATTGTATTTTCCACCCAAAAGTCGACATTGATTCACAGTTTACCCTCTAAACTTTCTACATCTATTTCTTGTCACAAACTTTAAAATAAATATGTCAAGATATTTTAACTGATTTTTTTTTTTTTTTTTTTTTTTTTTTAGAAAAAAATCAGAGCTTTTCATTCAAGACATATTAGAAGATACAATATCCAGAACCACATCAGGTAATTCACGAACAAAGTTTGGTTTTTTCTTTGACAAAGCCGTTATTTCGTGGGCTGCTTTATTACCATTTCGCCGAACGTGTTGAGCTCTAAATTTCGGTAAACTTGCTCCCAACCTCTGTATATCTGCTATAATGTTACCATATTCTGCTCGAGAACTCGAGGCATCTTTAATGGCTGATATTACAACCAAGGAATCGCCTTCTAATATTATATTTTCCCAATTGTGGATTTTAGCCATCTCCATTGCCATTAATCCTGCTTTGGCCTCGGCCGATGTCGGATCCAAATGTTGTTTTATCCTTCTAGATAGCCACCCCAGACTGTACTCGATTTTAACTGATTTTAATTCGAATTTAATTTTTTAATTATATAAAGTTCCCAAATTTCAAAATTTGATTGGATTTTTAATGTACAAAATAATTAAAATAATTCCAAAGTCCTCAAAAAAAAAAAAAAAATTGGTTAATTAAGAAAAATCGAAATATAATTGATAGCTCGCGCACTCGCTGATTTCTGCTAATTCGCGCAGCGCCACACCACTTCCATGGCAACACCCAGAGACAAGTACAAGAAACCCAAATTGGAACATCAATCCGAACAAATTGACGATAATGAGGTATTTCAATTTTTATTTTTTTTATTTTTTTTGGGGAAAAATATTAGAGTTTTGGGTTTTTATCAATTTGATACTTCGATGCGGGTCGGGTTATGTAGTTTCAAATATTTCGTGTTTTCCCCTTTTGCTGCTTGTTTTGATTAAAAAAAAATGTGATTGAGTTGATGTTTAATGAGTTGGGATATACTGATTTGAGTACAATATGGAGTAAACCAAATCTGCTTGATAATTAGTGTCAAACAAAACAAACTTTGAATGCCAGGTTTATAATTATACTGATATGTACAATTATTATTATTATTATTATTATTTTTTTTTTATTTTTTTTTTTGTGGTTTGTCGAATTCTTTGCTTCATGCGTTAATTAGTATTCGTGTCATTTGAACACGGCGTGCATATATCCCGATTTATTGAGTAGTAGTGAATTGGTATAATCAGAATTTTTAAAATGCTGGAGAAGTTCCCAATTTTTTTTTAAGCTTTTAGATCAGTGGTGAGTTGTTGTACGGAAATTCTGTATGTTTGTGAATTATGCAAGCTTTTTACTCCTTAGATTATCCTATAGTATTTTGTTGTAACACTTTGTTAAGTTATCGAAGTTCTCTCTAATACGTATTCGATATTTTGTTAGAAATCAATTTTGAGTATATATTTAGCACACTCCTCGTCTCAGGCCCAATCTGTAGAAACGGACGACAGAATTTCACTCGAATCATCGTCCGACGAAGAAATGACCACAGTTTCACAGCATTATTTTGGCAGCATTGAAGATGATGGTTTCTCAATCAGAATCATCGAGGTGTTAATTATTGCTTGATTTATTCATCTTTGCTTTTTTTTTTTTTTTCTGTTTCAGTGTATTCTCGTATTCATTCGACCTTCTCGTATCAGAATATGAAAGAAGAATACGGACTATTCGTATGGCCGTCGAGCATAATTCTGGCAGAGTACATTTGGCAACAAAAATCACGGTTTTCTGGTTCTAATGTTGTCGAGGCAAGTCAAGCCATCACAATCCATTACATAATTTTTTTATTTTTTCGTTAATCACAATTTTATTACCTTCACCTGTTTTCTCGATGTTTAATTTAAATCTTATTTTTTCATTAATAGTTAGGTGCTGGAACTTCGTTGCCTGGATTGGTTGCTGCCAAAGTCGGTGCTCACGTAACTCTGACCGACGATTCAAATAGATCAGAGGTATTATTTTGTTTATAATATTATTAGCCTACAAACATTTTAGGTTATTTACTGTCTGAATTCGTCTCGAGTTTTTATTTATTTTATTAATTTATTTATTTTAATTTACTGTCTGAATTTGAGGTCAATTTTTACATTTTCGTTTATATTTCTTGTTCGATGAAATTCTCAAAATGTTAGTGCTCGGAATTAAAATTTGTTTACCCTAAATTTTCTTGTCTAATTTACAAATTGTTTTTCTTCCTCGTACCTCTAGGTGCTCGATAGTATGAGAAAACTGTGCAATATAAACGATCTCAATTGCAGGGTAAACATCTCTATTTTTTTCACGCTACATTGTTTAATTCATATTAATATTCCTTATGTTAGATGTAATTATATCCTTATTCCGTTTCGTATTATGCACTACGATAATACGGATTAGTTCTTTATTAGCTGTAGGTTTTGGGACTTACATGGGGAGTATGGGACCCACCAGTATTTAGTTTGTACCCGAACATCATTCTTGGAGCCGATGTTTTCTACGATACAGCGGGTAATATATATTGATGTTTTTATTTTTATTTTGTTCATAACAAATTCTCATTTTATATAATCTGAAAATATTTACTTTTCAATTGCATTGTGGTGCTAAAGCCTTTGACGATCTTTTTGCAACGGTAACGTATTTGCTACAAAGATGTCCAGATTCCGTTTTCATCACCACCTATCATAACCGAAGGTACTTTTTCGATTCATTTGCATATGATGGAAAATCAAAATTATTATTAATGTTTGGATCTTTTCTTTCTTAACACGACTAATATTCTATAGAGTCTCGCCTTTCTATTTGAGAGTCCAAAGCACATTTAATTGTTTCATGTAATTTAACTATTTGTTGTTTTCGAGATTTATAGTTTCTAATATCTCGAAATACGGTAGTATCAATGCAGAACAATATTGTCGTAAGGACAAAAGGTCCAACTATTAGCTCGGCCATTTGTTCGATTTTTTTTAAAATTTTCTTTTTAATAAGATTATATGATTCTGTCATGGCTATACTTATTTCGACAACTAGACGAGGCCTAAGTAGTAGCTTCACTCCTCAAAACTTTCATTTTTTTTTAAACACGAAATATGAAATTATTGGTTGTGATTAATAATAACCATTTTGTAGTGGGCATCACCTGATCGAGTTCTTAATGGAGAAATGGTGCTTGAAGTGCACGAAGCTTGTTGATGGGTTTTCATTATTGCCATCTCACAAGGCATCAAATTTGAGTGGCAATATTCAGTTGGCAGAGATTGTTTTCGACACTTCAAAATGAAAATAAAAATGGTGAAGCAAGTGTGATATGCGACAAGTATGAAGCAGCCACATTCGGTAAGTAACAATAGTTCGGTTTTTCTTGGCAACCGTTTTTTTTCTCCCGAGGCCATTGCACAAAGTTTGCATAGTGCAATTCACCGCTTGTATGTTTTGCGAACTATTACATGGAAAAAAAACGAGTTGCTTAATCAGATTAAAATCGGATGGCTGGCTAATTAAATGGCTAAAATCGGATGCCGCTTATGAACAAATACATGGATATTTTTAATGGAAATTGGATTTTATATTTGCCTCTATTAGAGTTCGCATATGATCAACAGTTTCAATATTCCGGTTTTTTTTTTTCTTTTTAATTTCTGGAATTCCTAATAGTTTTTGGACTGAAATTGGAAATGTATGTAATTTCCGATCCGATTTTAATTTTCGGAACAATCCGAATTTCTGATTTATTTCTATATCACATATTTTACTAAGTTCGAAACTCATTAAACATCTAACAATTGAAGTATTTATACAACATTCTGATAGTTTGTATATTTTATTTATTTCTCTGTTTCGAGTTTTGGTTATTCAGTGATTGATGTGAATATATAGATTTTCAACTTCTTTTTTGAAAATGTATGGAATTTCCAAAAAAGTCCAAAACTTTCTGAAAATTTCATAAGTTGTGTGATTTGGAATTACGAAATTCGGAAATCTTTGCAGGTTCTTGAATAGGAATAGATTTCTAAATTCCGAAAATTATGGGGTTATTAGAGTTGGTTTTGTACTTTTGAAATAAATCAAAAAAAGCTTCTAAAGAGGTCGATTATGATCTGTTCCATCCGACTTTCACACCTACTAGAAAAAACTGCACATATAGCAGTATAAGCCCAAGCCATTCAAAATCGGGTAACTTCAATAGGCATATCTTTTTACCATTCATAATGTCAAAACAAATCGACTCGTAAATCGATAAATCTAAATAAAACACAATGCATAAAGTGAAGCAAACAAGTAAACCAATAGAGCAAAACCCACGAAAACACCCAATATCACAACCGACCACAAAGACTCGCCTCCACAAGAAAACACGCCGAGCTTCACCTGAACAAAATTAGAAAAAGACAGCATCAAGAAAACACACCCGACGAAAGAACCCAAAGCGGATCCGAGCAGCCCGGTTTTCAAGACCCGCGGGTCGATATCTGCCTTGTGCGCGTCGCCCGGATCCAAGTTGTTGAGCAGGTTGATGACCAGCTTGAGGCTCTGAGCGATGAGCGAAGAGAAGAGGAAGCTGCTGAAGGAGACGACCTCGTACACTATCAGCCTCCTCACCAGACCGTAGGCGGCGTTGCATGACGGGCGGTGGCCGGTGCCGCTGGCGGAAGGCTCCGTCAGGGAGAAGCCGATGAAGATCGCCACCGTGAAGAGGGAGTTCACATTCACTATTCCGTCCAGTGCCGTCACGTGGATGCTCGTTTTCGATGGTTTTCCGGTGGTGGTGGTGGTGGTGGCTGTATTAACTTGCGGCGACTCATCGTCAGCTCTGTTTGAGCTGCGTGCATAAAAAAATGGAACTAATTAATAACTATTATTACTTACATTACATTGTTGGTGAATTATTACATGAGAGAGAGAGAGAGAGAGAGAGAGAGAGAGAGAGAGAGAGAGAGAGAGAGAGAGAGAACCGGTGCGTGAGCGAACCATTCGACATAGATCGGGTTAGTAGCGAACTGAGAATTAACAGTAGATACTCTATATGTATAGAATAGATCAAGACTTAAAAGTCATTGCTTTTGGTTTATATGGAATAATTTGAGTATTGAAAGACAGAAAAATTAGATGAACGTGTTATATACAATACAAGTTCATGTGTACGTTTGTCGTCGAATGGGGTCCATGCATGGACAAGTTACGTAGCTTTGTAATTAATAAGATGAATTTATTGATGAATATTCCTCACCCACACATTTGTTATCTTGGTTTATATGAATTCAATTTGTGGACCAATATGTAAACTTATTACTTACCTATATTTTGTTTGGGCAGTTCCAATGTGAAAGTGAGATTGGAGTTATGATTAGCTACATGACAGATAGGAGAGGACTCGAAGATTCAAATTGCATCGTTAACTGATTATTCCTACTCTCTCTCTCTCTCTCTCTCTCTCTCTCTCTCTCTCATCAGTCCATATTAATTAATACTCTCCATGTACAGCGATACTTGAAAAAGTGGTTGCCGGAAAACAACATAGAAAAGCAAAGAAGGTACAAACATAAAGAGAGAGAGAAGGCGGAGAGAGAGAGAGAGAGGGAGAGGAGTGCCGGAGTCAACGAAAGGAATTAGGGTTTGAGTCGGTTTCGGTATTTAAGTGACTGAGAAAGAGTGGCCAAGATTGTCTCAAACAAATGGACAATCAAGATCAGACATCCACTTACATAGACTTTAAAACAGACTGGATCAAACAGAGCAAAGATATTAAAAGCAACACTATAAACATTAGAAAACAGTGCATCTATCAGAAGATGGTAATAATATTAGCTTACAACAAAATAGAAATTAACAAGATTAATAATACCTCTTGCTCTTTTCTTTTGTTTTTTTTTGTTTTTTTCAAATACTAGATTTACTGATAGATTGAAGATTGCATGAACTGGGAAAATGGTCAACAACACTAACAGTTAAAATAGACGAACATCAGTCTCTCAGCATCTCTACCGATTAGTGCAAGTAGGCAGTCTGGTACTGGTACGCATTCCCGAAGAAGTTGACTTGATGATTAGGAGAGAAGTTATAGACCGCAGTGGGGCCCACATACGGCTGCACGTGGTGGTGCTCCGCCGGTCCACTGTAACCATACGATGGTCTCTCGTAGACGTACTGCGGATACCTTTCGGGCATTCTGCCACCACCGTAGAAGTTCTTGTCGGTGGCAACATTTGCGGCTCGTGGTGCGTGTGCACCACCAACGCCGCTAGCGCGGGGTCTTTTGGACTGTGGCTTCGCAACTTCTGTTGCCCTTTTCTTGTCCGCCTTTGCTTTCTCGATTTCGAGAACCTGTTTCTGGAGTGGGTCCACTGGGAATTGGATCTCGAGACTATGGTCTTCGATGCACTTGATCACGGCTTTAAGTGCAGTAAGCTCTTTCTCGTTTACATCGTTCTGGAACAAAAAAGGTCGGCATTCATGATTAAATATCTAGATTACGTCTCTAACATGGATTATTGATGGGATTGATAAGATTGATTGAAATGGTTAGGATTACATTGTCCATTATAACGTAACATGTGATTTTCTTATGTTTAAGATTTGCGATTATACAATCCTTGTAATGGACTAAATATCCTTCATGTTCTTGATTAAAATCCTGACTCGTTTTTTTTTTTTTTTTTATCACGGGCTCGAAAACAAATTCATAATCCTTTTGAAACAAATTAGTAATAAAAGCATTTCCAACTGATAAAAACCCGATAAATTCACCAATAAATGCAGCGAAAACCAAGGCATAGAAACGGACCTGTGCAGAAGCACCAGGTGATGTACTTCCGGGTTTGGCAGCCGACGGCACTTTCTTGGCTTCCGCCAAGTAGGATTTCAGTAATGAAACGGGTGAAAACTGCTCAGTCAGTTCAAATGCAAAAGCTAAATTCACAGCATCAATCTGTCTTCCGTTCTTTACCAAGACGTCAATCACGCCTGATAGATAACGAGACTGTTAATCACTACACATAACAAAGCCTGATAATTAACCGAACCGAATTATTATTAGCAAAAACTTCGGAAAATCTCGAGTGTTTTGGATCCAACAAATAACTGATCTTGCACATACACAAAAAAGTAGACCAAACCTGGCATTTTCTCAGACAGGCCGAGGTAACGGCAAAGTTCAGCGGTTTGCCTGCGTCGAGAAACCATGGGAATCAATTTCGACAGACAATCCTGATCGAAATCCGAATTGATGCGAAAAGTAGCCAGAAGCTGCAGAAACGCATGAGCCTCTAGAGAATTCCCGTAACTGGCATCGACGTCAAGATAATCCAGCTTCGGTTTCCACTCTTCGGCAATAGCCTTTGCTCGTTCCTTTGCATTTTCCGAGATAATACCAGAAACAGAGCCCGCGTCCATGTTTACGAACAAACTGCTGAGGCACTCCATAAGCATGATACATGTTCGACGAAGGCCCAATAGATTGGCATCTTTTTTATGCACGTCTTCTGGGCCGTAGAAACCCTTGAGCGAGTCCAGAACAAGATACGCGGGATCAGATGCAGCCTTCAAAGCGATCGGAATTTCCTCCCTTAGAGTAACGAGATCTTTCCGGTTGTCGGAAATAAATTTGTTGAGCGCCTCGGAATTCATCTCTTGGCATAATTTCACCAGTTCTGGATAAGCCTTCACTTGTATATTCGTATTCTGAACAGACTCTTCGGTACCGCTGCTCGTATTCTTTGCAGTAGTTAATTCATCACCAGTTTTTTCCTCGACAACTTCTCCTTCAGCTTGGTTCTCGTGTTTGACCATGGCATTCAAAATGGCCGAAACCGCAGCATCTCGTTTCTCTTGGAGGCTCTCGAGTGAGGTTTGCTCCTTGACAGCGACATCAGCTTTGCGCTTGTCCAGAATCTGTCTCGATTCGACTATTTTGGTGTCGAAGTCTTTTTCTTGTTCTTCAAGTTCGGTGAAACGTCTCTTCAAAGATTTCTGAAGACCCTGGAAATGCTCCTCGATCTGCTTCCATTTCAAATTTAGAGTGACTGCTCGATGACTTTCGAGTTCGGCAAATGCCTTCTGGAGCTGTTGTATCTTAGAAGCTGTCGAGTCCATGACATAGAATGCTGGACAAAAGTAAGCAAAGTGTAAGTTCATCAAGGGAAATTAAAGAAAGATGTACGGTGGATAAACTAACAAGCACAATCGGGTTCTGAACAATAAACCGTATATACAAAGCTCAATCTTAGCCGAAGATTGAAACTTATTCGCTTCATTGCATGGATAAACTTATAATCGTATTACGGCCACCCCTGAGGTAAGGCCACCTTGAGGTGATGTCAAATTACGAAAAAACCCCTCCTTTTTTAGTGGAATCTTCTAGATTATGTGGAATATTCTCTAGTTTGTACACGTTAAACCTCATTCGAGCTCCGTATTTCGAGCTCCACATTTTGAAATAAGATAATCATAATTTGTGTCTTTTGGCTTGTAAATATCAGATTGTAGTAGATTTTGGTGCATGAGAAACTACATTTTTTTCACGAAACGAGTACAAACTAAAGAATATTCCACTGCATCAAGAAAATTACGTTGAATTTTCCATCATAAGGGTGGATGTGTAAGAAGATTCATAGTCGAGGGGTGATCGTAATTATCCAATCGCGATGGGTTCTTTTTGTTCGTAATTTGACCTTACCTCAGGGGTGGCCGTAATTTAATCAACAACCAAAACGATTTGTAAGGATAAGGAATGTTGAGATAAGCAGGATAACATGAGTTGACTTACACAAGCAATAAACAAACAAAAAAAGTCAACAAGTGAGAGTGAGTATGAGAAAACAAAGAAAATGAGTTCGATGCAGCAATTCAAGGTAAACATACAACACAAGTGACGTCAGATTCTTCTCAAACAAACATAGGTCAAACAATAAGATTTAAACGAGGTAATAAGAACCTAATAGCAAATGTCAAAAAAAAAAAAGGAAACTTGATCTGAGAGCGTAAACGAAGAGCAGTAGTTACCGGATCGGAAGAAAGCGGCGGCGGAAGACAATTGAAGTGAACGGCGGCGAATTGGAGGAATGAAAACTCACACCATTTCGGATCCTTAGAGAGAGAGAGAGAGAGAATTGTATGAGGGGAAAGAGGAAAGTAGATGTGGGGACGAGAGAGAGGGTTTATATATATGAATTATGAATTATGAATTATGAAAGTGTGATGCCGACATCCACCACGCGCTGACACCACATGCACCTCTCTCTCTCTCTCTCTCTCTCTACTTTGCTTTTTTGTTCCACCATCACCATTCTCCATATTCATTCATATTTCCCATAATTCAATTTCTTTTCGAGGGAAAATGTTGCATCTATTTTCATTACATAGATTAATATTTTTTTTTCTTTTTTTTTTTTTTATTTAAGCCTTGATTGCTTACTAGTATTATGTCGTAAGATTAACTAAATAGTAGGAGTTAGTAAGATGTTTGGTGGGTAGGTATTCGATATAATTTAAGCCCGTGCTATTAAAGTTGAAGATCGCAATTAAGTACTACTAGTCTACTACTACGTCATGAAATTAGTAACACCCTTTCACCTGAGATTAATTTTGTAAATGATGACTAAAATGAAATTTTACAATTTTATCCTTGTACCAATAACTTCATTTTATTGAATAAAAGACTTTATAGACAATTCACATATGATAACAGAATCGAACAAAGTTTAATACAATATGTAATCTAAATTCTAAAGAGTCAAATATATTATAAACTAATTAATGAGTTAACTAGTAGGAAATTAATCTAATGAAATCTAATCTAATCCGGTTTAATCCGATATAGGTATGCGAACGAGGCCTAATAGCGCATTAGTCTTAATGTAGCCCAAATATCTTTCATTCTTTTAATAAGAGAGTGTTTGGCTAAGCTTATAAGCTATTAAAATATTTTATAAGATATTTAAGAGTTCATAAGCTCGATCTTCTAAAGTGTTTGGTCAAATTTCAGAAAAATTTTACAAATTTAAAATATAAGTTGGTGGAGAGCTTGTAATTTTTTTTTTCAAAAGTACCTATACCCCATATTTTATTTAAGATTTAAAAAAACATGAAAATTAACCTTCTGAAATTAAGAATAAAAATAAGACGTAACAACTTATCGATTCTTAAAATAACTTATGAGATGCAATAGCTTATCAGTTGCTTAAAATAAACTTAGCCAAACGAGCTCTAAGTCTCCCTCATTGTAGGAATGGTGAACTCCGCTCAAACAATTCATATAATTGCTCCAAAAATAGTTGAGTAATCAAAATAGATACTACTAAATGTCATCTAATTGTGATTGAGATTTTGGATTTTCTCCGCATGAATCTGCTTTCGAGTTGACCCACGCGTAGTTTTTTGTTTGTTAGTTGATCGGTTTTCGGTTGTTTTTTTGTTTTTAGAAACAACTCAAGAACAACAGTACAATGTCACGTTTACGCACCCGTCATCTGTAATTGAATTATCTCTAATCATCGCTAATTATGCAACCTAATGAAGAGGGTTTTTCTAATTTCCCAATAAGATTGCTAAAAGTTGAACAACATTTTATTCCACATTTAATAAGATATTCAAAGTTAATTTTAATAAAAATAAATAAATAATTCGAACTTGTTGAAGTCTTGAAGACGTGAAAATATAATGTAAATATAAATTGAAATTATATTTACATTATCTTATCACTAATGTAAATATAATTTCAATTTAGTCAATATAATAAGATATACATTAGTGATTTCAATTTAGTCAATATAATCTTATCACTAATGTAAATATAATTTCAATTTCAATTGACTTTGCACCCCTACCTTTGAGTGGTGATTTGGGTGAAGTGAGTTCCTATTTTATTTCACTTTGGTGACACAAAATTATTTGAACGCAATTTATTTTTTCATATAATCTTAAGAAATTTCAGAGTTAATAAAAAACTTTTTACTCAAAACATTTTGGTGAAATTTCAGAAAACTGTAACACCAATTAGAGACTATGGTGAATAGTAAATAAAATATTTTATTGTTTTGAATTAGTCATTAGATAGTCAATTTTAAGATATCATTATGGCGAGTGGGCCTAACTTGCCATTAATCGCATAACTCAAAAATCAATAGAAATTTTCAATTGTGTTGAAAAAACGTACTAATAAACAGGCCTACATAGAGTACGAGAACAATACTAAATCAATTTTAATGCGTTGGGTTCGAATACATTTACAATATAATCTTAATATATTACTCGATAAATTAATAATCACGCTTAATTTCTTCTGACTTCAATTCCGTGAAAACATATTAAATTATTAATTCAATAATTTAATATTTGCTAAATTAATTGAATTTTACTAGTTAAAATTGCATTAATTTATGAATGTTTAATAAGACAATTATCTTATTATATCCGTACCTATGACTATTATGTTGTTCTTTTCATTTGGTTAGCTATACGACTTTTTCGCTATTATGGATGAAGTTTACATTTCTAACCCGTACGGGGCAACTTTTTAACGAATGTAATTGGCAATATAACTGACGACGTAAGTATTCTGTTGTAAAATACTTCTTCCACGCGTGGATTGTAATGAAGTAATTGAACTACTTATTTAGTTTGTCATGTTGTTAATGAAATAACATAAACTTGCTCTTATTCTATAAGTTGTGTGTCATAGGCTTCACTAACAAGTGGTTGTGAAAGTGTAATTTTGTTGTTAGTTGATCGATTTTCGGTTGTTTTTTTAGAAATAACTCAAGAAGAATATTACAATTTAACATTTATGCAGCCGTCATCTCTAACTGAATAATCTTTAATTACGGCTAAATATGCAACCTAATGAAGAGGGTTTTTCTAATTTCCCAATAAGATTGCTAAAAGTTGAACACCATTTTATTCCATATTTAATAAGATATTCAAAGTTAATTTTAATAAAAATAAATAAAAAATTCATACTTGTTGAAGTCTTGAAGACGTGAAAATCTTGCACCAAAAAGCGAAATTTCTCGCCCTCAGGGCCTCATCCCTTGGTCCGACAAGTATTTGATGGAGGAATGTAAATCATGGTAACTCAACGGCCCGTTAAGGTAGCGGACCCGGATCTGGTGCCCACAAGGAACCAACCCTCATTGGAGTTGAAATTCCCACACTGCGGCTGCCAGGATTCGATCCTAGGACTTTGCACTAACTTACCACCTTCGGAACCAGTTGAGTTACACTCATGCGGGCAAGACGTGAAAATCTTAAGGACACTTATCTTATCACTAATGTAAATGTAATTTCAATTTAGTCAATATAATAAGAAGTGATGGGGAAGTCGTTTGAAATATAATTAAACATCTATAAATTAATGCAATCAAAACTAGCAAAATTCTATTAATGTAGCAAAATTAAATTATTGAACTAATAATTTAATATGTTTTCACGAAATTGAAAGAAGAAATTAAACGAGATTATTAAGTTATTCATTAGTAATTTATTAAGATTATACTGTAAATATATTCGAAACCAACGCATTAAAATTGATTTAGTATTGTTCTCTTTATTAGTACGTTTTTTCAACACAATTGAAAATTTTCATTGATTTTTGAGTTATGCGATTAATGGTAAATTAGGCCCACTCGCCATAATGATATCTTAAATTTGACTATCTAATGACTAATTCAAAAGTCAAAACAATAAAGTATTTTATTTACACCATAGTCTATAATTGGTATTACAATTTTCTGAAATTTCACCAAAATGTTTTGAGTAAAAAGTTTTTTATTAACTGTGAAATTTCTTAAGATTATATGAAAAAAGAAATGCGTTCAAATAATTTTGTGTCACCAAAGTGAAATAAATAAGAACTCACTTCACCCAAATCACCACTCAAAGATAGGGGTGCAAGTAGGAACGAAATTTCCAATTTTCGCCGGTTCTCAAAAAAAAAAGTTTCGATTTTGGAACAACTTTTTTTTTATTTCGAATTTTGAAATTCTGATTTTCGATGTTTCCGATTTTTTTTCGATTGGAATTGGAACTGAAATTATGTAAAAAATATTTAAAAATTCCGATTTCGGATCCAATTTAATTTCCAAAACTAATTTCAATTTATTTTTCGAATAATACACCAATAATATATATGTTTTTATTTATTTTACTTAGTATAAAATAAATTAATTATTTAATCTTATTTTTATCTTATGGGCCATACTGAAAAATCAAAATCTTTAATTTGCAAATTTCTCACATAGAAAAAACCGTAGTTTCTTCCCTGGTTTCGACTTTATCATTTGGAGGGTTTATAATTTTGTTTTATTTGAAAATAGGTGCCTAACGCAATTTCTATAATTATTTTTAAAATATTAGGGTTTATCATGCATATTAGTAGTTTTGGTTTAATGATTTTATGAAAGTAAGTTTTCTTATTTTTGAAAATTTATGAAGGTTTTTGAAACTAAAAAAAAAAACATTAAACTTATGTGATTTCCAAAATTCCGAAATTTCTGTAACATTTGGAAGTGGAATGAATTTCTAGATTCCGAAAGTTTTGAAATTGGAATTGAAATTAGTTTTGTACTTTCAAATAAAAATGGATTTTTTTTTTGAAAAAGTAAATCCCGATCTGTTCTATCCAACATTCGTCCCTACCTAGAGATATACTCAAACCCTAATTATGTGAAAATTTTGGATAAATAGCACTTACCCCCTTGTGGTTTGAACTTTGTGGACATGACTCCCTTGTATTTTATTTTTATAAGCACATAACCCTTTGTTCTTTTAAAAATTTCTTCTTTTTAATGAGTATGATTATTTATCAAGTGTAATACCATAGGGTGGTTATGTGCTTATATTAAATGATAAATTACAACCACCGCCATGAGGTATGACCAATTTACGAAAAACCCCATCTTGTTTGGATAATTATATTTACCCATCAACTATGATTTATTCTTACACCTCCACCCTTATGGCGTCAAATTTAACATAATCATCTAGATTTTGTGGAATGTGCTATAGTTTATACTCATTTTGTGTAAAAATACAGTTTCTGATGAACCACAATATGATATATACAAGCTAAAAAACACATATTACGATCATCTTGTTTCAAAATGTAGAGTTCGAATGGAATAAAACGGGTACAAAAGTGTTATTATTCCATATAATCTCGAAGATTCTACTAAATTTAAAACTGAAAGAGTGGACGTATAAGAAAATTTATAGTTAATGGGGTGATTATAATTACCCAAACAAGAGGGGGATTTTCGTAATTTGACCATATCTTAGGGGTGATTGTAATTTACCTTATATTAAAAATCAATAGGGTCATGTGTACAAAAAACTACAGAGGAATCATATGCTTATATTGAAATTACAAGATAATTATATGCACGGAGCCCAAATCACACCACGGGGTTTAAGTGTTATTTACCCAATATATATCTTATATATAAAAGAAAGAAACGCTGGGCAACCCTCAAAAAACCCTAATGATATTTATTTAATTATTTATTTTTAATATTTTTTATCTACTAATTTTCAATAATTATCAATCTCTTATTTTTCATCAATATATCTCAAATCTTAAGAGATATTGAATCTAATCTATATATTTAGATTATAAATCTTAATATGTAAAATTTAAACAAACTAATGTTATATAAAATATGAATAATACTGCATTATTAAATTTATGTTCGTGTACTATATTTTCTTATTATGTATTAAATTGATTTTTTTAATTTTACTCTTAAAATAATATCACGTGCATCGCACGGAAAAAAAATGCTAGTATATATTAAAAAAAAAAAATAACAAGTGGAAAATGGTCCATGGTCAAGTCATGACTTCAACACGGTTTTCATTATTACCAAATAAAATAAAATTAATTGAAAAAATAAAAAAATAAAAAAATTCATGTAATGGTCGTTGCAATATCGTAGCTAATTTCGAAAAGTCTTGTATTTCATGTAGCTTATTTTCGTAGCAGTCGTCCCACTGGGAAAAAAAGTCCAAAAAGCTAATAAAAAAAAGCAGAAATGGAGGTTAAAAATTGAAATGATGGAATAATTAGTGGGTCACTCAGGCAAAATTCATCAACAGTGAAAAAAAAAAAAAAAAAAAAACGAAAGGCTGTAATTATTCAAAATCATATTCAATTATATATAATCACAGTCATTCAATCACAGGTCTCCGTTCCGCACCAGAGATCCAAAAGCTTTTCCACACTTACCTGGTAAGAAATAAATATAAATTACTTCTTGTTTTTGAATTAGCTGTTCATTGCGTTCTTGATTTTCTTGATTTATTTTCTTGAAGTTCAGGATTCCCTGATTTTTGGTGAAACCCTTTTGTTATTTTAGTTGGGTTTCTTTCAAAGTTTGCATTTTTATTATTTTTATCAATTGGGTTTATGAAATTTTTTTTCTTATGTGATTTTAGTATGTTAGCTTGATATCTCTCTCTCTCTCTAAGCTATTTTTGATGTTGTTGGAGCTTTTGTGATCTAATTGTCTATTATCTAATTTCGGTTATTTTATTTTATTTTAATATCCAGGTAGTGAGTGAACAATGAGGCTTGTGATTTTACAGCAACATTGATTTTTCGTTTATATTTCTCCGGTTCTTTCGATTGAAGAACATGGTATCTAATTATCGACCGCCGTATGCTCTCATCGCAATCGTCATTTGGTTTCTGTCGACCGAATCTTTCTTCAGCCAAGCTTCTCAAGCCGATATCGACTGCCTCAAATCCGTAAAAGCATCCCTCAAGGACCCGTCAAACTACCTAGCATCGTGGAATTTCAACAACACTGTCGAAGGGTATATCTGTAAATTCACCGGCATCGAGTGCTGGCACGAAAACGAGAACAGAGTGCTGAATATCCGATTGTCCGACATGAGACTCGAGGGGAATTTCCCACTAGGCGTGGCGAGTTGTTCCTCGATGACGGGCCTCGATCTTTCGTCCAACAATCTCCGAGGGAATATTCCCAAGAATATCTCGAAACTAATCGGTTTCATCACAACCCTTGATCTATCATCTAACCAGTTCTTCGGTGAGATACCGTTGGATATTGCCAACTGCTCGTATTTGAATGTACTTAAACTGGACGGCAATCAGTTGACCGGTCAAATACCTCCGCAGATTGGTCTGCTTAACCGAATGAAGACGTTTACGGTCGCGAATAACCGATTGAGTGGGCCCGTTCCAAATTTTATAAATTCCACCATTTCGGCGGAGAGCTATGCGAATAATGCCGGACTGTGCGGGGGGCCTCTGCCCCCTTGTAGGGGCCCGCCGACAAAGGGGCGTACGCCGGCAATTATTGGTGGAGCTGTGGCTGGTGTGAGTGTTGGATCTTTGGGTTTTTTTGTTATTATGTTCTTCTTCTTACGTAAAATGTCGAGGAAGAGGAAGGAAGGAGATCCACTTGGCAATAGATGGGCGAAGAGTATCAAGGGTGCCAAACGAATTCAGGCAAGAATCACTCGTTTTTTCTTTTTCTTTTTTTGTCCGGATTTTCTGCATCTAACATAAAATTCAGTACAAAAGATTCCTTCATAATCCATAATAACAAATCCATTGAGATTGTTTTGATTGAGTCATTTCACGAGGAATTTCAAATGGGGTTGTGATAAATGCCGTTTCAGTTTTAATAACCGTTTTGACTTTAAACGTGATCATTTCAAATCATTTCCATTCGGACTCTTTCAACTTTGTAAAAACGGTAAAATTAGTTTCTTTTGTGCATGCATTTGTTTTTCCGACAAGGGATGTTAACAAATTGAGTTGTGTATCTTCCGTTTTTCAGCTCTCGATATTTGAGAAATCGGTTTCCAAAATGAGCTTGAAAGATCTAATGAAAGCCACGAACGACTTCAGCAAAGAGAATATAGTCGGAACGGGAAGAACCGGAACAACCTACAAAGCAACACTCACAGACGGGACCCACCTCATGGTGAAGAGATTGCAAGACACGCAGCACTCCGAGAAAGAATTCACCTCCGAGATGACAACCTTAGGAAACGTAAAACACCGGAACATGGTCCCACTTCTCGGTTTTTGCCTCACCAAGAAAGAAAGACTCTTAGTCTACAAGTACATGCCAAACGGATCCTTATACGATAACCTACATCATAGCGCGAACGATGACACCAAAGCTATCATGGATTGGCCTTTGCGCCTCAAAATCGCGATTAGGTCGGCAAAAGGGTTCGCGTGGCTCCACCACAATTGCAATCCGCGAATAATCCACCGCAATATTAGCTCGAATTGCATTTTATTGGACTCCAATTACGAGCCGAAAATATCCGATTTCGGATTAGCGAGGCTAATGAACCCAATCGACACTCATTTGAGCACATTCGTGAACGGAGAATTTGGTGATTTGGGGTATGTGGCCCCCGAATACACACGAACCCTAGTCGCAACCCCTAAAGGTGACGTCTTCAGTTTCGGTGTAGTGCTTTTAGAATTAGTGACGGGTGAGAAACCCACGAGTGTGAGTAGGGCCCACGAAGGGTTTAAAGGGAATCTAGTCGAGTGGATTTCGCAGCTCTCGAGGGAATCTAAGCTTCTAGAAGCTGTGGATGTGTCGTTGGTTGGGAAAGGGTTTGACAGCGAGATTTTCCAGTTTATTAAGGTTGCGTGTAGTTGTGTTTTGCCAGCTGGACATAAAGAGAGGCCGACGATGTTCGAGGTTTACCAGCTATTGAGAGCGATTGGGCAACGGTACGATTTTACGACGGAGGATGATGTCTTGGTGCCGTCGAATTTCGAGGGTGGTGAGCAGTTGGTGGAGCTTATTGTTGCTCGAGGTGTAAAGGAGATGTATTGAAAAGAAAATCGAATATAAACGACAGTCGGTAATTTCATGTTGGTATGTAATAAAATTTTGTTTTCTCATTGTAGATATGAAATGTTCATATATGTATATGTATGTATGTATGTATGTATGTATGTATGTATGTATGTATGTATGTATGTATGTATGTATGTATGTATGTATGTATGTATGATTGTATGTGTTCCATCCAGAACTAGCTGAGGTTTAATTAGTTAATTTACCAGGTGTATTATACAATGTTCATTGGTGTATAGTTAATAGTTATGTTTAGTTTCTTGATATTAATGTCATTTAGTTCTATATATATATACACACACAGATTACGGGCACCTCTGAGGTAATGTCAAATTACGAAAACCCTCCTTTCACATCCATCCTTACAATGTCAAATTTAGTGGAATCTTCTAGATTATGTGGAATATTCTTCAGTTTGTACCCGTTTTACACCGTTCGAGCTCCACATTTTGAAATCATATGATTATAAAACGTGTTCCTTGGTTGTAAATATCAGATTGTGGTGCATCATTAACTGCATTTTTGCACAAAACGAGTACAAACTAGATAACGTTCCACGGATTCTAGAAGATTATATTCAATTTGACAACACAATGGTGGACATGTAAGAATACCCAAACATGAGGGGTGTTTTCGTAATTTGACATTACCTCAGGGGGTGGCCGTAAATATATATATTTCTTGAATCAGGAGAAGAAATACAGCATTGAGAACCTCCACAACAGTCTTATTGGTTACAAAATAACTTTTTTTCTTTATATAAATCTATATAACCTATCTAATAAATACAAAAATAAAATAAAAATCATGTACCTATAATATTGCCAAGAAAAGGCCACCTTAAATGAAATTCATGCATTAAACATTAAGTGGAAAGGTGTCATCATCATCAGAAGTGTTTCCCCTGTTATGAAACACACCCGGAACTTGCTGCAGCATCGGATTAACCGGGACCGGAAATCTATGCGCAGAACTAACCATGGTTCGCTCGTTAACCAATCCAACTTCCTTACAAACCCTATCCAAAATCGTCAAGAAATCCCTCACCACCATAAATATCCTAAACGGATGCGCCTCCTCTTTAGTCGTGTTCCCGTGGAAGTACTCCGTAATTTCCTTAACCAGGGTTAGTGCAACGCTCTCTTGCGCTCTAACCCGAAATATCTCCTCCTCCGCCCTTCCCACGAAACCGTTGACAGTGCCCGAAAACTGACAGCTGTCGCTTTCCTTTAGTGCGGCGACAATCTCCGTGACATTTTCGATTCCTTTCGAAAGCTTGGAGACATCTTTGGCGATAACTTCTGCGTCCATTACTGCGGCCTTTTTAACGTTCGACAGCTCGGAGGTGAGGGCTGAAATGACTAGAATGCCCTCGCTCCTTGTGATTTCCTGAACGACGAAATGTAGGAGTGTGGTTTTTCCGTCGGCTCCTTTTATGTCGACTAGCTTGAGGAGCGTGTCGAGCTTGAACGCGTGCGCGTCGCCTCGGTTTGTTCCCACGTTCATGCGGTTGCCGGTTTTCAGGACTGCTTCTAGAAGCTTCAGGAACATTCTACTGGTCCTCAATTCTTCGCAAGCTGACTGTAATAACAATATTTAGAAGTCAATATCTTAGAAAAAACCATACACGAGCAATTCAAGTACTTATTTGGAATGTAAAATTACGAATTCTGCCAATTCCAGATGATTTTGGAACACTATTTTTCATTCCGAATTCCGAAAGTTCCGATTTTCAATTTCGTCCCTTATTTTTTGAACAAAATGGGAATACATATTAGATTTGAGTTTATTGCATTTCCTACCCTTGTGTTATATTGAATTGTTAAAAAATTCCCCATGTTATTAATATCAGCAAAAGGACCTTCAATGCTTTTTCTTTACACACAACCCCCTAATATTGAATTTTTAGGGGGTAGTTTGCTAAAAAAAATTGAATCATAGAGGAGTTTTTGCTACTAAAATAACGAAGGGTTCTTTTTAGTAATTAGAGAAAGTAATAAACCCTATTAGATTCCAGTTTCCGATCAGATTTTAATTTTCAAAAATATTTCGAAAAACTCAAATTTGTTTTTTTTTTTTTTTTTTTTTGAAAATTACACTTGTAATATATTATAGGTGATTAAAAAATTAGAAATTCTGGATTCCGCCGATTCCAATTCGAAATTTACCAATTTTGGAACTGTTTTTTTCATTCAAATACCCGAAATTCCGATTTTTACGAATTTGTTTTGGAACGGACTTGGAATTAAGTTTCAATTCCGAAAAGGAAAAAAAAAAGAAATGGATTTTTTCCGAAAGTGCTAATTCCGATCAGATCCGTCTGATTTCCACCCCATACATATAAAGAGAGCCCAATATAGAAAGCAGATACGGATACGAAAACAGTACCTCGAGAGTTGCAAATGACTTTTTGAGGTACTCGACCTCGGATTCGAAATTGGATATATAAAGCATCACTTCGACTCTTTTGAATGCATAAGGTATATCGACAACTCCTTTCAAGAATCTCTCTGCAGCACCAAGCTTTATCGGAGAATCTTCTTTGTATTCTTTTAGCTTACGTTCCTCTTCCTTAGTCGGAGCCATCTTCAATAAACTTTCTAGAAGCTCTGTACCAAGAAGATCTGTATTGCCTGTTTTCGAGACCCAAATTGAATTATGGCACATGCCTAATATAGACTATAAACATCATTAACACATGTTTCAAATCCAGTGCCAAAAAAAAAATTAATAATCACCAAATTTCTCGTCGGTTGTTTAACACGGCAATTCTTGAATGGAGATGACATGGCAATTTTTGAGAATCTTTTAAAAAAATGATTTTGAATTAGATACATAATAAATTTCAAGAATTCAGTTTAAACATGTTCGGATTTTTATGCTGCGTGACAATTGACAGGTAACGAAATAAGCTGCAACCGACATGCGCAAACACGATACATACAAGTACAACTGCATGATAAAATTTCGTAAATAATGTTTCGATGCAATAATATACCTTCTAGAAGGCCTTCACAAACTTCATCGACAGTGACGTGAAGTGCCTTCAATAGTATAGCAATATTCTGAGCCTTTTTGGGATCAAGAACTCTATCTCCATTGTCTTGGCCAGGTGGCGGAAGAACCTGCCACCTGGCTGCTTCCTTTGGGTTCGGTTTTGGCGTATTCACAATAAACAACGTCTCGATCATCTCCTCATTCAATCTGCATTACGACTCAAATCAAAATAGACAATAGAAAACGAACTCATTTTAACAATAAATCGTATGTAAAGAATCGTACTTAAAAGAGCTGCATTTGAGTTGATCCCACACCATCTCCCGATCGGAACTTGCTCTTACTTTGTCCCAATGCAACGGCTTCAATTTTGGTTTGAGTGTACTCTCTTCGTTTCGGTCCACGTTTTCAGTTGAGTACTCTTTTTCCTTATTTGGAGATTCTTTATTCGCGTCATTCGTAAGAGTTTGTGAATCGTTCGAAGGCAATTGAATTGGAGAAACTGACATAGGACTTTCCAAGGGAATTGGCTCAACGGGGTTTTTGGCTGTTGGAGTTGGAGCATTAAGAGTTTCCCATACACTCAGAGGTGGCGGCGGTGGTGGTGGCGGAGGCGGCGGTGGGAGAGAAACTGGTGGTGGAATAACGGTGGTGTGATGACGTACAGGGCTACTAATTCTTATTGGAGATTCCACATTTGAAGTTCTGGGCGAGCATTCTTCACTTCTTGAATATCTTTCCGGCGACAATGTATGCTCTACAGGGCTACTAATTCTCATCAAATAATCTACATTTTGATCAGAAATATTCGAAACCCTAGGTGATGATTCTTCACTTCTTGAATTTGATGGCAGTGGCGAGGTAAATTCGAGACATATCAAACCCTGCACCTCCGGCGATGTAGGACTAATTGTCGGGCTATGATGATGTGCGGGGCTGCTAATACTCACCGGAGATTCCAAATTCTGATCTGATACGCTCGAATTTCTTGGCGGTGATAACGGCGGCGATGCTGATTCTTGAAACACCGGAACTTGGATCTGCCGATCTGTAACAACGGTGTTATGCTGGTCAGTGCTGCCGATACTTGCCGGAGATCCCACATTATGATCGGAAGCGTTCGAACTTCTCGGTGATGATGAACTATGGGGCAAGGGGGATGCATATTCCGGAAACACCGAACCTTGTGTATCTGGCGGTGTCGGAATAACAGTGGAATTGTGTGCAACAGAGCTGCTTATTCTCACCGGAGATTCCGAATTCCGATCGGAAGTATTGGAAATCCTGGGCGACGATTCCTCACTTCTCGAAAATCTCTTCTCAGTGGAAGATGAACTTGGGGGCGACGGCGAAGCAGATTCCTGAAATTGGGAAGGCAGCGGCGGTGGTGCAGCAGTTTGAATCTCAATCAAGTCCGGCGAATTGGGAATCGAATTTCTAGGGCTCGGAGACAAAGACCTCACCGGAGAACCCGGACCCGATTGGGGATCCGAACAACAAGAGCAAGTGGATGAAGAATTTGAAGTGGAAACATTGAAATTCTCCATCTGTATTGCGGCGGCGAAAGCCCTAGTGGATCTGATCTAGTGCCAATGGAGCTCTCTCTGCCGGTTACGGAGCCTTTGGGGGAGTAAAATTCTTCGCTCTCGTCGTCTTTACTCGGGAAAGTGTGCGGCGTGTTCAATGGTGGCAAGGGGCGGAGCTCCGGCGAGTCCAATTTTTGGGAGTACAAAGCGTTGGTGTAGTTAGTGGTTGTGCTTGTGCTTGTGCTGGTTGCGGTGAAAGCGGTGACGTGTGAATTGACCAAAGTGCCCAGGTACAAGAACTCCGAGCTTGTTTGCGAAGGTCTCTGAAGCTTCGGGATGTGGTGGTGGGAGGAGGTGTTTGGGGTGATGATCTGGTTGAATGAAATGGTGCTGCTGTTGTCGGATCTTTGGGTTTTGGATTTGTTGAATGATGATGATGATGACGGTGATCCGTGGGTGGTGGTGCGCTTGCGGAGATGGAGGAATACGGCGAGGGAGACGACGGCGACGGCGGCGAGGACGGCGGCGGCGGCGGCTACG